TAATAACAAAATACACACGTTAGTAACTTCAAGGAAAATAATAAACAAACAATTAAATTAAATAATTGAAATAGAGATTTGGGACCAAACCCTCAGAAATTAAACCTTTCACGTCTAGGGCGAAGGCAACTTCGAATATGGCTAGGTGTTTCTAGATCTTGCGAATGCGGAATTTTGTATGAAAAAGCAAAGTTAGGAAAGATGAATGAGGGAGATGAATGAAAACTGATTGAAGGTGAAAAACTTGCGAATGAGGAGAATTGGTGAATGAATGGTGAAAATTGATGAATGAAAACGGAGTTTTCAATACGATAGACCAAGCGCTAGGCACCAGCACTAGCGCCAGGCGCCAAGCCTGGTTCCAGGCGCCAAGGCCTGGGGTTGGACGCCAAGCTTGATTTCAACGCGTTTTCGAAAATCCGATAAGTTTACCGTACTGGAGGATAAAATAATATAATTTCTTCGAAAATGCTATTTGATTTTAATTAAAACTCTAAAAAGTCAACAAAGTCAACTTATCAATGCTAATTGAATTAGAAATGAAAAGAACCTTCTAGAAGAATCTAGAAGACTAAAACCATTCCTAATTGCATTAGGAATGATAAATCATATTAGGCCCTCCCATAGATCATTGGGCCGTATATAAAGCTCAAACCGGGCCCAGTTTGGTAAATTGGCCATAACTTCCTCAATATTCATCGGAATTGGGCTTATAATATATCGTTGGAAAGGTCTTGTCAAGCCCCATCCAACTACACTACTATTGGACCCATATCATGGACCAACCAAACTTATTGACTGTTTTCTTAAAATAAAGTTTTCAAAAACAGGGAGAAGAGAAAAGAAATAAAAACTTTCCGCAACACTAGACCTTTCGACACTTTCGTTTCATTCGATTATGATTCAACGTGAAAGGTACTCATCACTGGGTTTGGTTTTGGGGAGGCACAAATGGGTGTCTACAGTTACAGTGCTTCTTTTGACAGTTCTTGGGTGAATATGGTGACTGATGATACAATTCCTAGTGAATTCAAGGCTTTTCTTTCTCATTCTGAGGAAATTACTGAACCAACTTGCTATCAAGAAGCCTCTAAGCATGCTATTTGGGTAGAAGCTATGAAAAAAGAAATACAGGCTCTTGTTGACAATAAGACCTGGGATTTAGTTGATTTGCCCAAAGGTAAAAAGCCCATTGGTTGCAAATGGGTTTTTAAGGTTAAGTTGAAAGCAAATGGTGATTTGGAAAGATGTAAGGCTAGACTTGTGGCTAAAGGCTTCAATTAGAAGTATGGGATTGACTATGAAGAGACTTTTAGTCCTATTGTTAAGATGAGCACAATTAGGTGCATTCTTGCCTTAGCATCCAGCTATTCTTGGCCTGTTTTTCAGTTAGACATAAATAATGCCTTTCTTCATGGTGTTTTGAAGGAGGAGGTTTATATGAGGGTTCCAGAGGGATTTCCTAATCCTCACAATAAAGTTTGTAAACTTAGGAAGTCTTTATATGTGCTTAAGCAAGCCTTTAGACAGTGGCATGAGAAATTAGTTGATTCCTTGGTTAAATTGGGATTTCAGAAAGCTCAGAATGATTACAGTTTGTTCCTAAGAAGACAAGGAGATGTGTTTTGTGTTGCTGCTGTTTATATTGATGACATAATCCTCACTAGTACTGATATTACTGGTATTGATTCTCTCAAAGCTCACTTACACAAGGAATTCAGTATTAAAGATCTTGGAAGATTGAATTACTTCCTTGGCATTGAAGTGGGATATTTTGATCATGGTATTATTCTGAGCCAAAAGAAGTTCACTAAGGATTTATTGGATAATTGTGGACTGCATTTGTCAAAAAAAGCTGTTACTCCTTTTCCTGGTAATATCAAGCTTACAAATTCAGATGGTGATCTTTTGCCTGATGCTGAGTGGTATAGGTCTCTGGTGGGAAAGCTCAATTTTTTAACTCATACCAGACCTGATCTAGCTTTTGCTGTGTAGTCTCTTAGTCAATTCATGCACCGTCCTAGGAGTTCTCATAGGGATGCTTTGCACCATACTCTCAGATATCTTAATTCTTCAGTAAAGCAAGGAATTTTACTCAAGGCTTTAGACACTTTGTGCTTACAGGCCAATTCTGACTCTAATTGGGCATCTTGTTCTGATTCCAGAAAGTCCATCACTGGTTATATCATGCTATTAGGTGGTTCTCCTATTTCGTGGAAGTCTAAGAAGCAATCTACAGTTTCTACTTCTTCCTGTGAAGCAGAGTATAGGGCAATGGCAGCAGCAACTGCAGAGGTCACTTGGCTAGTTAGGCTGTTGGCTGAACTTGGGGTTTCTAATCTTAAACCTGTTGTCTTACATTGTGACAACCAGTCTGCTTTACATATAGCTAGAAACCCAGTCTTTCATGAAAGAACCAAACATATTGACATAGATTGTCATTTCACTAGAGAAAAGGTGTTGGAAGGCTTACTGCAGCTCACTTATTTACCTACTCAACATCAATTGGCTGATGTGTTTACAAAGGTTTTACCTTCAGCTCAGTTTCAAGATCTGCTGTCCAAGGTGGGAATGTTTGATTCCACACCTCCCACCTTGAGGGGGGGTATTGGAGATAGTAGCAGTCAGCATGAGAGTAAGCTCAAGCAAGCCACAGCTGCACACAGGGGAGTCAAGTTACAGAACAGTTTCTAGAATGTTATAGAATTAGTTTGTTATTATTCTTGCCATGTAATCTTCTGACATGGCAAAAGTTTGTTACAGAGTTTGTTATTGTAATAACAAACTCTCTCTTTATTGTTCTTTTCTATATATATGGGTTGAGTCCCTAATTTGTATTCATTTTTACAAATATACAAAATCAATAAAAAGTTTCTCTGAAAGTTTATTTAGCTCTGAGTTCATATTCAAGCTTTAGCAGATTTCAATGGCTTCTCTGAAATTCATCAAATTATGCTAATATTAGAACCAGACTTCCAGAGCCTGAATGGGACCGGTTCTAGAATATAATCAAAGTTTTTTATTTTATTTTTTTTTTTTTTTTTTTTAGGGAATAATATGAAATAAAAGATTTTGAAAGTAAAATAATAGATCATATTTTTGACAAAAGTAATAGCTGTAAAAAAAAGCACAAAAATATCTTCAACGTATTAGAGGAGTATATTATTTTATGAATCAACTTAAATTAAACTGAAAACTATTAGTGCGATTGGATCTAATTTAATTTAATTTTCTTTACTGATTTTTGAAAATACCTTATTTTTTGTTAATAAGGGATGTTCAAATATCATGTTCTTGTTAATAATAAACATTTGGGGCCTCATGTTCAGGTGTATGTCCAAAAATCATGTTCAAGTACATAAACAAGTGGAATATTAAATCCCTTTTATAAAATATACTGATTTCAATCCATACAAAAAAAAAAAAAATTGATTTCAAATTTTGTCCAAGATTAATTTCAAATATACAATATGTTGAAGTCAATAAATATACTTGTACTACCTCCGTTTCTCATTAGTTGCAACTTTGAGCTCGACACGGATTTTAAGACAAAATTTCATAATGGTTGATTAATGAATCAGAGATAAGTAATCAAGCAAGGTAGGAGAGAGAAAGTAAAGGTAATTAATTATTTACCCACCACCACCAACAGCACCCACCACCACCAACAGCACCCACCACCACCAACAACACCCACCACACAACCGTCGACCAACAACACCCACCGCACCATCGTCGGCCGTAGCACCCACCTTGAAGCCACCCACGTCATAGCCTTAAACCACATGCACCGCATCTCAGATCAACCCATAATAGGCCCTGAAACCACCCACACACACACGAACAACCGTAAAACCACTCCCTCTCCAACTGAACAACCCCGATTTCACCCTCTCTTAGCTCGGAAAACCCCATAACCACCCCCTTTTAGCTCAAACCACCTTAAAACTACCCTTTCTCAACTCAAACCACCTCGAAATCGTACACCCTCACTCAACCCCAGACCACCCACAATCAACCTAAATCGCTCAAAAACTACCCCTACTCACCCTGAACCACAACGAAACCACCCTCAATCACCCTAATCCACCCAGAAATCGCCTCAAGCAACCACAAACTAGCCCACCCGCCCCTTAATAAACCATTAGATCTAAACGATTTTTTTTCAAAAAAAAAAAAAATAAGAAGAGAGAGAAATAGGAACACAGGAGGAGGAGGCGACTTTGACGGTGGTGATGAGCATCGACACCGTTGAAGATGGTGTTGCGGTGGTATGATTTACGGTGGTTAGATGTAGCAACGGCGACGGTAAAGGTGGGTGTTGCGGTGGTCTGATTTGTTCGTGGGAGATGAAGATGGGAGATAATGATTTTTGATTTAATTGGGTGACATAACTTATGTTAGATAAGTTAGATTAGGAATTTAATGAAATATGAATTATGTAGTTAATTGTGTTTATGAGCTCTTTAGTAAGGGTATTTTTGTACTTTCATTGAAAAAAACTTACTTAAAAAGGAAAAAAATGAAAAGTTGCAACTAATATGTAGCACCCCTAAATGGCAAAAGTTGCAATTAATATGTAACGGAGGTAGTATATTTTTTTGTTTGGTATAGTATTTTTTGTTAATAACGAAAACTCGACACTAATCTTACGTAGTTGCATTTTAAAAACAATATTTTTTGTACAACTCAACAAGTTTGGGGGATTAAAAAGTAATGCCTCATTGCCTCCCACAACTTGATCTCATATGTTCAAACTCCTTGTTTAGAGACTAAACTACTTCTCGGTTCTCTGATGGCTTACGAACTTGTTTGATAAATAGCTTTTTGAAAATCTTTTAACTTATTAAGCACTATTAGAAGTTTGATTATAATAAAAATCTATTTTGGATATTTAGTAAATAGCTTATTAAAGAGCTTTTTTAAATTAGCTTATTGAACAATTAGCTTTAATTTTATTTTATTTATTTTTATTACGGGAACCGATCAATCAAATTTTATTAATCAATCAAAAGGCTTCGTCTATCAGCCATTACAATCTCAGCAATGTGTGAAGGAACTTCCTCTATCCACACTCTAAAGGAAACAAAAGAAGAACATAATTTAGCTAAAGCATGGGAAACCTGATTGCCTTCCCTTTTCACAAAAGAGAAATAGCAAGACTGGCAGCTACGAGCAAGGTGAATGATATCATTAATGATTGACCCAAACGTTGTAGCAAGAGTGTTTCGCTTGATAAGATGGCTATGAAGCTTGAGGCAGTCCGTTTCCATACAAACATTTCTAAACCCAGACTCAATGACAATGCTCAATGCGTGTCTCATAGCAATTGCCTCTGCGATATCAGCGTCAAATCTTCCATGAAGAGGCAAGCAAGTTGAGGTAACAACGTCTCCTACATCACCCCTCATAACAACCCCCAAAAACACACCATCATTCAAGAAAGTGGCAGCATCATAATTCACCTTAATCACCCCATGAGGAGAGAGCTTCCACTTGCAATCAAGCTTAAGACTCGGCTGTGAGGAGACAGCAGCCTGCTGAGCCAAAGAAAACTCCCCAGCCATCGACATCTCTCTATAAATTACCTCAGGCACATCCTTTTTCCACCCCTCAAACACCCAAGCGCTCCTTCGGAGCCAAATTCCCCACAATAAATTCAAGAATAAATTCCACGCACCACTCTTTATCCTTGTGCTTCCTACGAACATCCATACACCATTCACCAAACGAGGTCCCTTCAAACCTATCCACCTCTAGTCGAAGAGGGAAAAGGTACCATAAGCGCTTTGCATCATCACACCTCACAAGCATATGCAAGACACTTTCATTGTCATCACCAAACAAAGGACAAATGGGATCAATTGTCATACCTCTTTTGATCAAACTCTGACGTGCAGTAATAGCTCCTTTAATCGCTCTCCACGCAAAAAATTTCATTTTTGGGGGAACTTCAGCGTGCCATATTGTATTCCAATCAAAGCTGCAATTCGAAATAGAAGTAGTAGCTTTGCTATGCTTTAGTTCCATCGTGATCAAATTATAGGAACTCCTCACCGAATATTGCCCATCCTTTGTAAAATTCCACACCCACACATCATTCCTATCATAGAGGGGGATAAGAATGCACCAAATTTCATTCACCTCAACCGAAGAGAAGATCGCATCTAGTGCCACCTTATTCCACGATTTCTCCACCCACAAGTCACGCACATAAACAACATCATCATCATTTCCAGGTCGACTCGAAGACACCTTGAACTCAGAAAGATTTGGAATCCAAGGGTCTTGCCAAGCATTAATTTAAGCTCCATTCCCCAATGACTTTCTAGCACCCTTCAATAACACCTCTCTAGTACCCAAGATGGATCTCCAAGTGTAACTCGCCGTAGGACAAAATTTTGCATCAAATAAATTTGAGTGAGAGAAATACTTGCCTTTGAGAACTCTTACTGCAAGGGAATTAGGATTAGAGATAATGCACCAAGATTGTTTTTCCAAAAGAGCACTATTGAAATTTCTCATATTCCTAAAGCCAAGCCCACCCTCCTTCTTTGAAATGTACAGTTTCTGCCAAGCAATCCAACACAATTTCCTCTCCTCACCTCTTTACCCCTAAAAGAAATATCGATAAAACCTTTCTATTTAATAAGGGTGCTAGCCGGAAGAGCAAAGCATTGCATTTTATAAGTCGAAATGGCTTGTGCAATTGATTTAATCAATACCTCTTTACCCGCTTGAGAAAAAAAATTTATTTCTACCCTTTGACTTTTTTCCAAACACGATCCTGAATATTTTAGAACACTTGTTTCTTCGAACCACCAATATAAGTCGGTAACCCAAGATACTTGTCATGTCCTTCGACATCCTTAAAAGATAACTTCATCTGAAGCATGTTTCTCCGTTCTTGATCAATATTTGGCTAAAAGACACTTTCGATTTGTCCATATTCAGTTTATGTCCCGATGCCAACTCATAAGTAGTAAGAATATTTAGAACATTCTCAATTTCCTCCTCCGTCGCTCTTACAAACAAAAGACTATCATCTGCAAAAAAAAGATGGGAGATAGGTTCCACTTGCCTCCCAATCTTAACACCATAGATGAGCTTTTTGTTCTCCGCATCCCGAAGAAGAGCCGACAAACCTTCCGCACACATAATAAAAAGAATTGAGGCAAGAGAGGATCGCCTTGCCTAATACCCCTACTTCGCTTGAAACATTTCGATGGTTGCCCATTCACTAGAACATCAAACTATGTAGAGCTAACACAATTCATGATCAAACTCACAAATCTTTCCGGTAACCCCAGTTTTAGAATCATTTTCTCCAAAAAAAAAACCCATTCTACTCTGTCATAGGCCTTACTCATATCGAGTTTAAGCCTTGAAAAACCTTTCTTTCCTGTGTGTCTTCTTTCTGAGATGATGGAAGAATTCATAAGCAACCAAAACATTATCCATGATCAGACTCCCCGGGACAAATCCACTCTGTGACTCATGAATAATAAAAGGTAGTACTAGCTGTAATCGATTAGCAAGTACCTTAGGGACGATTTTATATATAATATTATTACACAAACTAATAGGTCTATAATCAACAAGAGACTCACATTCTTTTTTTTTTGGGAATTAACACAATGTGAGTGATTAACCGAACCTACATTGCCATTATTATTCAGAATATTCAACACTTTATCAACTACGTCCACTCACACAATACCCCAAAATTTCTGAAAAATACGGTAGACATACCATTGGGCCCGGGGGCCTTTGTCGGATGCATTTGAAATAAGCTACCCGTACTTCCTCGGCTGTGAAATCGGCGTTTAGTGTGTAGTACTGACTGTCGTTCACAATTGGGGACACCTTCTCGATCACGGGATCAGTCTCAATGAGGCTGCTTCAAAGAGCTCTGAAAAATATTGCACGAAAATTTCAGAAATTTGTTCCTCCTCGTCAAACTCATTCCCCGCTTCATCCTTAATTTTTTTGATGCTATTTCTCTCAAGTCTTTGCTTTGCCTTTGTATGGAAAAAAGAAGTATTTTTATCACCATGTTTTAGCCATTCTTGTCTACTTCTTTGTTTCCAATACATTTCTTCTATTCTCTCCAACTCATCCATTCTATCATCAATTGCCCTCATTTGAGCAATAATTTCCTCTGTTAGATCTTCCTTCATAAGTCTCTCCATCTCCACTCTACAAGCTTGAAATTCCTTCACAAAATCGCCAAATTTTTCTTTACTCCACGCACTCATTTTCGAGGAAGTAAAGGAAATCTTAGAGCATAAATCGCCACCCCTTTCCCACGCCTCTGAAACTATCTCCGAGCAATGTTCATCTTGAATCCACATTTCCTTAAAGCGATAAAGTTTATTTTTTTTCTTCTTTTTCGGGGTGTGTAAAGCTCCCTTGATGGACAAAAGTAGGGGAAGATGATCTGATTTTCTCTTTGAGTGGTGCAAGACAAACGAACCAGGAAAGCAATTCCTCCACTCACGGTTTGCAAGAAACCTATCCAAACGTTCCTGAATATTTCTACACCCCCTATTGTTCAACCCTGTAAAATCATGCCGAACATAATCGAGATCCTCTAGCTTGCAATACGAAATAGCCTCTCGAAGAATGTCAGCTTCTTCATTATTAAAAGCCCTGCCACTCGAATTTTCACTCAATTGGAGCATCAGGTTAAGGTCCCCCCCCCTCCACACAAAACCAAGGCAGCCCACTATCAACCCATAAACTCTTCATCAACTCACCCGTTTTGAACTTCATTTCTTCTTCCGGATGGCCATACAAACCAGTAAATCTCCACTCCTTCTGCCCACTTATCTTAATCCCCACATCGATATGATTATGAGAATAAGATTTCACAACCACATCAATCGAATTCTTCCATAGTAACGCCAGACCTCCCTTTCTTCTTCTCCCTTCTCCTTCACAGTCAACAACAAAGGCACACTCAAATTTTGTTTTATATTTGATTTTTTTGAACTCAAAGGATTTCAACCGTATCTCAGAGAGAAACACTAATTGAGAGCACTTAAAAAACACTATCCGTTTCAGAGCATTAATCGCAGGGTTGCCCTCCTAACCCCCTACTATTCCAAGATATGATGTAACTCTTTGTTCACCGAGAGCCCCTTGGGTGGGGGCTGCCACACTATCGTTAGCTATCATAACCATCCTTTTCTTATTCGAAACACCCTCCATCTTATTCTCCTTACTTCCTTCCCATTCCCCTTCTTCCATATTATTTCTTTTTTCACCAAAAAATTTCTCACTACTAGTCATACTATGGTCTGCATCCCTTGGAGTTCTCCTCCAATTTTTATTTTTTTGGGCACCCTTTTTTTTATCATTTTTTCTCCCTCAGTTAACTCAACACTCCCCTTATTCAACTCTTCACCACTCATGAAAATAAAAGGCTCACTTCCCACCAATAATGTGTGAGTACCGGCTACCTCATTAGAATTCAATTCAACATCACCAAGTTTATTCATTACCTCGGTCACAAGAGTGATACTAGAAGCCTTCAACTCCTTGCTCATCTTTGGATTAGTAACAAACAGTGGTTTTGCGCAGCTCCCACCCTTCATCTCTTCTTCATCCCTGCCTCCCAAATTAAGTTTCCACGGTGAAGCTTTTAAAAAAAGTCCCATATGGCAGAGTTGGTTCTTCACTTTCTTTGTGCTCCTCACAGCCCTTGAGGCCATGCCCCATCAATCCACAGAAGAATAAAAAAGCGGCGGTTTTTCATATTTGACATTTAAGACTTCTTCAATTCCCCCTCTTAACTTGAGCTTGACATTCTTAAAAAGCGGCTTACGCACATCCACCATCACACGCAATCTAATTGACTTATTGATCCCAACCTTTGCTGTGGCATCCATCTTCATAAACACACCAATTTTATTCCCTATCTTTTCTACATTCGCAAGGTTTAACCTTCCTTGAAGTGGGAGGTTATAAACCCTAATCCACATTGGCAAATAAAACATATCAATGTCCGAGGGTTTCACCGAATATGTTGTTTCCCCAAGAATCAATGTGTGTCTGCCAAAGTGCCAAGGTTGTTCATCAAGCACACGTTGTTTGTCCCTCCAATGATAGAATTGGAACAAAAATCGATTCCTGCCAATGTTAGTTATGTCCACACCATGCTTAGGTTGCCAAATACTTTTAATTGTCGCCATAAAAGCATTTGTATTAACATTATGGTTCATCCATAGCTTCCCAACTAGGGCAAGTTCCACACGCACATCATCATCCTCTTCACCCGCTTTGTCCCATTCAATTGCATCGTTCGGATCATCCTCTGTCGGAGGATCCTTTTTGCTATGAGCATCAGACTCCTTATCATTCACCATCAGAGACTGAGAATCAGTCTCCACCATTGAGATTATTAAGATCGAAACCAAAAAATCCAGGCAAATTAGTCACCAAACCTTGAGATCATATCAAGAAAAACCTTCACTACTAAAATCCGGCTAAATTGCGACCGTTTTTCTACGACCGTCTGGAAAACGGCCGCAAATTATGAAATTTGCGACCGTTTTTTATGCGGTCGCAATATTACGACTGCTTTGACAACGGTCGCAAATTTGCGACCGTTTTGCGACCGTTTTTAGCCTTCAAGACGGTCGCTCGGATGTTTGAACAATTAAAAATAATTCTAAATTAAATTAAATCATTTGCGACCGTCAAAGACGGTCGTAAATGTCATAATCGTCGTAAATATCATAATCTGCGACCGTCAAAGACGGTTGTAAATTCATAATCTGCGACCGTCAAAAAGACGGTCGTAAATATCATAATCTGCGATCGTCAAAGAGACGGTCGTAAATGTCATAATCTGCGACCGCCTCTAAAACGGTCGCAGATTTCTAATTTTGCGACCGTTTTAGCAGTCGCAATTTTTTTAAATAGGGTATAAAACGGATTCCAACTAACACTAACCCTAATTTTTTTACACAGCCGCTACTCTTCCTTCATTTTCCTTATCTCCTCTCTTTCCTTCCCTCTTCCTTCTCACGTTGCTCCTCTCTCTAATTCATTTTCCTCCTTCACTCTCATCTCCTATTTTCTGAATTCTCTTTCTCTAAATTTCCTCCTATTCTCCCTCCCGTACTCTTTCCTCTTCTCCTTCTCGTTCTCTTTCCTTAGGATTTTCGCTCCATCTCTGTTTCTTTGTTTCTTCTTCATTTTATTTTTTTCTTAGGATTTTTGTCAACTAACTAATGAATTGTGGTGTTGTATTTTCGTCAAAGTTTGGTATTAATGGTCAAATTCGACCATAAAAGTTCCAGATCTGGAGTTTTTATGGTCGAATTTGACCATATAAACCTAAAGAGGAAGAAGTTTTGTGAAAGGTATGTGTTTCTTCTTTGAATTTTCATTATATTTTTGTTTATTTTCAATTTTTGTTGTTTTATTTTGTTCTCTAATTTCCATTATTGTTCAATTTTTTTTCTATTTTTGTTTGTGTTTTTGTTTGAGTTTTGGTTCAATTTTTGTGTGTTTTTGTTTGAGTTTTGGTTCGAATTTTTGTTGATTTTGTTTGAATAATGGTTCGATTTTTGTCAAAATTGTGTGATTGTTGTTCAAATTTTTGTGGGTTTTTTTGAGTTGAATTTCTGTTCAAAATTTGCTTAGTGTTTGTGGGTTTGATTTGTGTTTGTATTTTTTGTTGATTTTTTATTTAATTTTTGTGCATTTTATTTGTGGGTTAAATTGTTTTGATTAATTTTTGTTGCTTTTTTTTTTTATTTTTGTAAATTTGTTCGAAATTATATTTTTTTTTTTGTTAAATCGAATGTTTTTGTTGGTTAAATTTCGGGGTTAATTTTTTTTGATTAATTTATGTTTTTCTGGGTTAAGGGTAGATGGGTGGTGGTGGGTATTGGTGGGCGAAGGTGATGGTGGGTAGAGGGCGGTGGCTAGTGGTTGTTTAGGGTGGGCAGTGGTGGTGGTTTGGGTGGGATCTAGTTTCGGTGGATCTGGGTCAAGGGTGGGTGGGTGATGGGTCTGTTTCTATTTTTTTTTCTTTTTTTTTTAAAACTTTTAGCGACCGCTTATGACGGTCGCTAATTTAAAGATTTGCGACCGTTTCATAAAGCAGTCGCAATTATTAATATTTGCGACCGTTTTCTTAACGGTCGTTGAAAATAGTAAAAACGGTCGCAAAAAATCTGTAATTTTGTTTTTTTTTGCGACCAAAAGAATAACGACCGCCATGTTACGACCGTTGACGGTCGCAATTATGTTTTGCGATCATTTTTGCTATTTTCTGCGAGCGTTTGAGGCGGTCGCAATTTGGTCGAATTTTAGTAGTGCTTGAAAAATAGGAAAAACCTAGCCAAGATGCTAGAAAGAAAACCCTCCAAGGAAAACCTAGAGGGAACTCTCTATTATTATCTTCAATTATGGTCCTAATATTTGAATAATTAGTTTTTTAGTTATTAAAACACTGAAATAACTAAAATTAAGCAGCTATTTAATTACAAACACTTTTACACAATAAGGGAGTTACAACCAGCTACTCAAATCAGCTAGTATAATCAGTTAGTCAAACCAGTTAATACAATCAGTTGTATCAACCAGCTAACCGCTAATTACCAAACAGGGTCTAACTATGTGTCCAAGATCCTTACTTTTTTGAGCTGAACTGAACTGAATTAAACTGATTGGAGCTGAATTGAACTGAACTGAGCTGAAATGAATATTTTATGAAAGAGAGAACTTAGGAGTTGAACTGAATTGAACTGATTGGAGCTGAACTGAATTGGGAGCTATGGAGATCAACCTTAAAGTTCTATAATTTGGCGAGGGAGATAAACGAAGTAAAGTAATATGCATTTTTGCTTTTATATCAGCCGCTAGATTTGTTTCTTATGAATGGCTAGGATTCATTCTCATCCTTCTCATTTTGTGGCCCTGTACTATTCAAACGAGTTTATTAAACTTTTTATAAGGTAGGAAAAATAAGTAACAATCATACAAAATAATCTTTTTACAAATTTCCCCTATTTAATTTCAAAAGTTGTAAAATTATCTCTTGAGTCTTGAATCTCTTACATTTATATATTATTTATTTTATTAAAAAAAGTTCCATTATATTGCTATATTTTTAAAGCCATCTTTTACTTTCTCCATATCTTTTTATTTTATTTATTTATTTAATTTGGAATTTAAACACCATTTAGTACAAAGTATTAAAGAGACTTTAAATTAAATGTACTATATATGGAGTAGAATTATGGAGTATATAATTGTGTGTTTTGTTGTTTAATTATCCAGTTTGTCTTAACATATAAGAATATAAAATTTATTAGACATGCACTAATGTTTCCAGAATTCGAATTATACCATTGCTTTGTTAAATCAAAGTATCTCTACTAAAATTTCGAACATTGTGCAACTACATAACATTTAACACATTCATCGCTTGTAAGCAAATAATTATAATAAAATATCATGCAAACTAGCATAAGGTATAATGCCACTAGTAGTAATTCTTTTGAAAGGGCTTACCATATATACCTCACACATTGCGCGCGTTGAAATACCTAGTGCTATTATATTTTTGTTGTTGCTTTTTTTTTTCTTTCTAATTACTTGATTTTGTTTCTACATACTCTCAGTTTAAGATTTCTTTTATTTTCCTCAAAAAAAAAAGTGTTTATTTAGTTTTTCCTAACAATTTGAATTATTACTTATCTTTCGCGGCGATAATTATTGATTTGTATATCCCAATGCACAATATTCATTAAACACCCTCAATATACATAAAAGTTAATTAAACCAAAGAACATAAAGGCCAAAACAAATGAACATGAACCTAAAAATAATAATACAATAGTAGTCAAAGTGAATGAACATGAATCTCTAAACCATCAAAGAGCATGAAATGAAATTTATTGACTTTTACCATAAGACAAAATATTTATCAATGAAAATGTACTACTAAGCTAGTTACACCAAATATGCATTGAAAAAAGAATTAAACAAATAAATAAACTAATAAGGTTTGAATTTGATAACCTGTGGGCTTAAGATAACATGCAAATTAAATAAAAATAAAATAGTAAATGAAGCTTAAAATTAAACTGTACAACACAATAATATTAAGGACTTTTTGTCAAAAACTACCTTTTAAAATCATTTAAAATTAATTTTTTGTGAGAAGTTACCTAATAAAAAAATGTTGTAAAAAACTACCTATTAAAATAAAAATGTTATAAGAAACTACCTATTAAAACAAATAATTTTGTAAAAAATATTATTCGTCCAAGTTTGTCTTTGACTAATTTTTCCGGCGTTGACCATCCTCGAGCAGTCACATGATAGGTGGCATTGTTGGTGGGGCATGGAAAAAAAGGTTCTAAAAGTGATTGGCAGGTGGGTGGTCAATGTCAGAAAAATTAGTCAACGGTGAAAATCCAGTAATAAGGAAGTCTATTACAACATTTTCATTTGAATATATAGTTTCTTACAACATTTTTTTGGTTAGATTGTTTCTCACAAAATAATGGCTTTTAATAGTTAGTTTATGACAAAAAGCCCTAATATTAATACCTTGCTTCATCATACTATAATTCTCACAAATAGATGGCATAAAGATACTTTTGTTGGTACAAACTTTTATAATTTGGTCACATAAAACATCTCTAACACACGTACATCTTAGCATTTGATCACAGAATATTAACTACTTGGTCTGGATTCAACATCATACGAAGTACATGTTGTTATTGTGTTATGTGATAATTTCGAAAGAAATGCTAATCTAATAATCTGACGGATAATTTAGATGATGAAATATTATCCGTGATGATAGCAACACAACCAATTAAGAGTGGTAAGCCTAGAATCACAACCAAAACAATGCCAGTGAAAAACCAGTGATAAGTTACATCTTGGAGAAGAGCAGCTTTGCATGATTCGCAATCGTAGCATAAGGTCTTCGGATCATTGTCCCATCTGTTGCAGTCGACGTTCGAGTAGTTTCCGATCTCTGGCTTTACCCAAACCGCTGGACTTGTGTAATTGAAATTACATTCTTCCGGTGGCTTGCAACAACCAGACTATCATTGAATAAATTAAAAAAAAAAAACAATTAATTTCGATATTTGACAATACTTGTCGTCGCTATCTGGACTTTAAAATATATTTGCTTACAAGAATGGATTAAGGCCTTGTTTAATTCAATATATTTTTGCTTATTTAAGAAAAAAATTTATTCAGATCATCATCGTTTTATGTGCGGTTTTTTTTTATCACTAATTATTTTTAATTACGTAATGAAAAAAATTATAAATACATATTAATAAATATACATTAATATGTATCTAACAAGACCCCCCACTTAATATAATATTCTTTTCAGATTATTGTACACACAAGGTCAAAGCTTGGTCAAACCAAACAATCAAATCTGATCCGTTAAAAATTGATAAGAATAATAAGGTGAATTAAACAAGCCCAAGACTATGTTTGACAACACATTTAATGAACCTTCAATATAAAGTTGTTGATAATTCAAGCCACCTTAGGGTTCGTTTGGCATTGCTGTGATTTTCTGTTTTTTGGTTTTTTGTTTTCTCAAAGTATATAATATGAGTCCCATAATGAATCAAAAATTATATAACTTTATTAAAATTATGATAATTTTGAAAACTGACAACAGAAAAGTGGAAACACCTTTTTCTTGTTTTCTGTTTTTAGTTTTTTGGTTTTCGAAAAAAACAGGAAACTGAAAACCAAAACAGATGCTAAACAAGCCTTAAATGATTGTTTGGCTGTTTGAAAAAAAAAAGAAAAAAAAAAAGATTGTTTGGCAAAAACTTTAGATCAAAAGTATAATTGTTTAAAAAAATTAGTCGCACACTTATTTTATTTATTTATATTTACATTACTACTCCATAGTATATACAAGTAAACTTAATTATTTCCCTCAAAAAAAAAAAAAAAAGTAAACTTAATTATTTGGATTAAGGCCTTGTTTAATTCAACATATTTTTACTTATTTTAAGTAAAAAATAAGTTCAGATCAGATTAGACAAAATAAGTTCAAATTAGATCTTCGTTTTACGTGTGGTTTTTTATCGCTAAATATACATTACTACAAATTTAACAAGACCCCACTTTTTATAATCTTCTTTAATTTTTAGATAATTGTACACACAATGTCAAAACTAGGTCAAACCAAACAATCAAATCAGACCAAATCAGATTTAATCAATTAAAAACTGATAAAACAAAATAAGGTGAACTAAACAAGTCTTAAGACCTTGTAAAAAAAAAAATTAAAAAAAAAGTCCTAAAACTTGGTTTGGAAACACATTTAATGAACCTTCAATAATAAATTGTTGAAAATTCAAGCCACCTTAAATGAATGTTTGGCTGTTTCAAAAAAAAATAAATAAATAAAATAAAAAATGATTGTTTGGCAAAAACTTTAGATCAAAAGTGTAATTGTTAAAAAAAAATTAGTCGCACACTTATTTTATTTATTTATATGTACATTACTACTCCGTAGCATATACAAGTAAACTTAATTATTTGGATAATCTCTAAAATAAACAAACATGAACTCAAAATACAAAATACAGAACAATTAATTTAAAGTACTGACCTCATAAGGAGATAAATTTCGTTTGTGGAATTTATCAAGGGAGTCTCGCCTATAATCCTTACCAAATTTTTTGCACACATGCTCTTTTACAATAACCTTCTTGTAGTATTTTTCCCAATTATATGTATCATGAACCTTGTTCTGCATCCACTTAGAGTACGACTCTACGTGGTACTCCTTGTACGATCTCCCAGGGATCGATTCTCCTCCCCCGTTGCTGCTCACAGCCAGCGCGAATATCCCCAAGCCGAGGAGGATAAGTAATAAAGGCGACGCAACGATTGGCAGGGCTTCTGCATTATCCGCCCCCCCCCCCCCTGCGATGGAACAGACAATGCCATAGCATAGGAAGAGGAGTATAATGACTCCGATGATGGTGAGTGTTACACCAAGGAAGCGAAAACCGGAGCAACTTGAGCCGAGAAAATCAAGTAGGTTCGATCCCAAGAGTAATGGGATAAATAATGAAATACTCCCAACTAAAGCAATACACCCTCCAGCTGCGCCACTCATCTTGCACAACTACAAAATTTTGTACGAAGACTTTCTTGTGAAGATGACTTGAGCCGTGCAATAAAGTGTCTATATATAGCACATACATAAAAAAATATTACGTTTTGTGTGCGGCTAACCAAGAACAAAATAACCACTATAAAACAAGCTGAATAACCCTTGTAACACCGAGTAAGTAACCTCTATAATACCAAGTTACAACAATATAACATTGGCGAAGTGACTCCTATAACACTGACGAGTAACTCCTATCACACTAGTGAACCAACTCCATGATTGTTGTCCATATGATATGATCAGCCACATATAGGAATTTATAATTGTCCAATGTCTTTTTTTTTTGGTCGTAAACATAATTAAATAGCCCATAAGTACACATCCTCCTAATTTTAGAGGAGATGAATTGAAATCAATCATTTTTAGAGACTTTATGAAGTATTTTTAACTCAAAATAATCTGTTTTAAGATCATTTTAACCAATTTTGGACTAAACTAGCTAGTGATAAGTCACCAGGAATTATATGTCGACTAATAGATTGGCTATTTTTACAATATTATTCTATTTTGTCTCATCATTTTTATTTTTTTCTGCGAACCAATTTTTGAAGACCAATAAGGTCTGTTTTAAATAAGTTCAATTCAATTCAGTTCCTAATTTTCTTTTCTCATAAATTATTCAGTTAAGCTCCAATCAATTCAGTTCAGCTTGTTTTCAAAAAAAATAAAAAATAAAATAAAATCAGTTCAGTAAATTAGAACAGATCCTAAGTGGATTGGACTTTTCTCCTTAAATTAATGAGATATTAATGTCCTTAGTCCTTAGAAGCTTCGTCTCATGCTAAGTCCATAAATATTAGTAACCTATCGCGTTCACGTAGCTCTATTCAAGTGGGAATATTTAATTTCATATACAATAACTTAAATGGTATCTATCAACTTCAAATTTTGTCGCCAATCAAATTTTGTAATATAATGTGTTGAAGTCAATAAAAACATAATTTTCTTTTGATCAGGTAATATAATACTTCACTGATATCGAAGAAACTTATACTAAACGTACGTGCTACTACGTAGTAGTTGCATTTTAAAAAAACCAATTGTTTCGGGCATTTTTTGGATAACCCGAAAGGGGGGTATGGATTCCCGCGGGAGACAGATCCGGGATGCAACACTCGTACGGCCTGAACACCTGCAAAACAACGGATCTCCGGTGTGCCGGAGATCCGGCTCCGACGATCAAGTTAGTGACCGGAAAACGGAATTTTAGAGAGAGAAAGTAGAGAGAAGTGAGAGCATATTTTGGGCATTGTGCCTTTGGGAATTGTGTGTTGTCCCCTTCCATCATGAAATGATGGGGTATTTATAGGGAAGTGGGAGATCATGCTCCTAGGGTTTCATAACCTAGGAAGATTGGCTGCCCTATACGTGGTTGACACGTGTATTAGGGTTTCCTTCATACTAGGCATGTTTCCTTAATGGGCTTTGAGCCCTTCATTTTCTGATATCTCTCTTTAGGCCACGTGTCATGCTCTTATTGGCCTTTATTTAGCTGAGCAGAATAGATGCCACGTGTCGGCTTATAATCGGGCCACTTATTGGCCTCTTATTTGTCTATAAAAAGGGGGTAAAAATACCCCGAAACACCAATAACATATACTATGACTTGGTCTCATACGCTCAAGTCAATGCTTATACAATGCTACTACGTAGTAGTGCTTGATCCAAATTATCCAATTATCCTTAGATTCGATTATGTATGTCGATGCGTTACGCTACATTTTCGGATCTTGTCTACGTCAATTTATGAATTATGAATTACGAAGTTACAATATTGTGACTTGTGAGACTACTTAGGAAAAAAAAAAGTTATAATATTGTGAGATTATTTCAATTAGTTGTGCTTTGTAATTGGGTTGTTAAAATTACTCTATCATATAGTTTTGTATGTGATGGAATACGGAGTGGTTATAATTCATGGATAAGAAATAGTATATCCTTAAGTATTGCCTTATTAGTAGCAATTTTTAACCTAAAAAGAGAATTAGTATTGTTTGATTTGAGTACTTAACTATATAAGTTGATTTTTTTTTTCTTTTTTTTTTGTTAATATATATATTCCTCTGTTTTTTTTTTTTTAGAATTGCAACACTTCTCTTTTCACGCTTGTCGATACATGTTTTATATCGTTAATATCTTTAATTTCCGACAAGTAAAAATTATAAACATTTGATATAAAAATTGTATAAGTCGAGACAAATCTAACAAGATCCCACATGACTATATTTTTACTTAAGTATAAACCGTCAAAGCTAGTCAAAGCAAAATACATGAATAGTGTAAAAGTCAAACTGTTGCAACTATTAAAAAACGGAGGAAGTATTGGTTAGCAATTATTTAAAGGAAAATTTGTTTAGAAGGGATATATATGTTCATTATTTTGTCTGGAAAGACCTTATATGTTTAACGTGGTCTAAAAGGACTTTATAAACTGATTTTGTTGTTTGGAGGGACCTTGAGGTCGGAATCCGACAATAATTGACTTTTTTTTTTTGCATGATTTCCCTCAAATTCCCTTATTTACATTTGTGCCATTTGGGGATTAGAAGAGAGTGAAGGAGGAATTGGAGGGAAATCGTAGAAAAAAAAATGAGGTCATTTTTTAAGGTCACGTGAGAGGTCAACGTCGTAGAAAAAAGTCAATTATTGTCGGATTTTTCCTTCAAGGTCCCCCCAAACAAAAAATAAACTTATAAGGTCCTTTTAGACCACTTTAAACATATAAGCTCCTTTTTGACAAAATAGTGAATGTATATGTCCCTTTCAGACAAATTTTCCTAAAACTAATTGCTTTCCATAGTTTTACTTGATCCTGAAGTAGTGAAGTAGGAGAAACAATATTGTATAAAGTATAAACTTGTCGAAAACTTATACATTGGATGAAGTAATTATGTCAACTAAAAAACTCTGGCATTTTTATTTCATAAATTGATAAATTGATAAAGAAGGGCATTTTTAGAAATGAATAAAAACATAATTAAACAGAGTTGGTTGAAGGGTAATGGAACAATCTTGATATATTCAGCAAGTGCCCACAATGGGAAATAGTTCCTGTACAATGGATAATTTAATATGCATGTCTTCAAGGATGTTCCCATAATTTCCTATTTTTAGGATACATCATAAATGAAAAACAAAATTAATTTAACATTCAAAATAAAAATCATACTTAAAAATCATACACAACTTTAAAATTTTATATATCTCATAAATAATATACGCTAATATTACAAATAACATGAAACAAAGGAAGTATTACTTTTTCTATATCCAAATTAAATAAGTCATTTTTCATGGACAAGCATGTTTTGGAGAGGAATTATTGTTTGATTAAAGTTGGACACGATTCACACAAAGATAGTGAAAATAGTTTATTATCGTCATAAAGTGAAATTAGAAAAATATATATGGTGGGATTTGTCAAGTCATGTGATGATTAAAAGAGAAAAAAGACTCCTAAACCAAACTTGTTGTTAAATAAATTAGTCGATTAAATTAAGTGAATTTTTTTTATCACAAAAAAAAACCTCTATATTGACTTTACCACCTACTCTTTTTAAATTTTTATATTAATACAACAAAAACATCTAAAAATTGGGCCCAACATAAACACGTGGCACTAAGTTGTTGGGTAAAGTATAGGAAAAAGAAAAAAAAAAACTTATATACTAACCTAGCGACCACCCCCACCCCTGACCCATACCATCCTCTTCGGGCACCGGCACACCCTGATCTTTGCCCCCCTCCCCCCACCCCAAAACCAGCCCCATCACCCCATACCTACCAACAGCAATACAGACCACGCATCTCGCTCGCCCAACTTCCAATATCGCCATCTCACCCAAACCGGCAACAATAATAACACTTATACAACAGTAAGCATTGACGAAAGCAGCAACAACAACCAATTGGCGACACATGTTCAAAACCATGATTGGAGGGGGGGGGGGGGGGGGGGGGGGGGGGGGGGAGGGGGATGGGGCTAGTTTTAGGGTGGAGGAAAAGTAAAGAGGGTGTTTTCGAGGGTGTCGCGACAATCAGTTAGGGGGGTACTGGTGGTGGTGTGGATGAGGCAGGAGGTGCCGACAGGGGGAAGGGGTGCCGTCATAGGGATGTCAGTGGGGAGGGTCAAGTAGGAGACCCGCCCATCCCCGCCCCAATGAGTCTTGGTTTGGCGGGTGGTGGGGCGGGGATGAGGATAAAAATCATACCCGTCATGGGTGATGGGGCGGGAGTGAATTTTACATTGTACCCACCCCGTCCCATCCCCGGCCCGCTCCACCCGCCCCACTTTGTACCTGTCTTATCCCCACCTCACACCCACATCTATATATTTTATAAAATAAAATTATATACTTTTATACTATTTTATATATAAAAAAATATATATATAATAAAATAGTATATATAATAATTTGTAATACACTAATTTTATAACTAAAAAAAGTGTGTAATACCGAGTATTAATAATAATTTTATTTGTTGTAACTTATACATAGTATAAATATGTTGGATTGTGTATTGGGAGGTGGGTCTTAGGCGCGTCTTAGGTGGGGATTAAGTGGGAATGGATATCCAAGTGGGGGGTGGGGCGGGGATGGTTTTGGAATTGTACCCGCCGGGACGGGGATGGGGATGAATTTTGGACCTGCCGCGGGGATAGGGACGGAGACGGGGATGAGGATGAAAATTTTAGGTGGTGATGGGGATGGGAAGATCAACATCCGCCCCCGACCCGCCCCATTGACATCCCTACCGTGCCGATGGTTGGGGTGGTAGCTGAGTTAGTTTAAGGTTTTTTCAACCCAATATCTTTTAGTGACACGTTTACAAGGTAGGACTGTAGGAGCCCCTAACATATTTTTGGATGGAATTTGTTAATATTTTAAATGGAATTTTTTTTTTTTTGAAAGAAATCTGTAGCTTTTATTCAAAATTAAACACGGTCTAATTCAAAACCATTTTATAGATTTCTCCTAAAAAAAAAACCATTTTATAGATTTTTTTTTTTTTTTTGGGTGTTAAAATAAAACATTAAGAGAGTAGGTGGTAAAAGCCAATATTTTTTTTTTTTTTTTTTTTTTTTTTTTTTTTCCTGTGGTAGAACATAAAAATTCCTAAATTAATTGGTAAGAGGATATACATATATACTAGTATATATTTATATTTTTTTTTTGAATATATTTGGTAAGAGGCTATATAATTTGGGAGATGAATTGAGTTACCTGCTGAGGAAAATCACCATTTCCCAATTGTGAATTGATTATAAGTTTTGCTGCACGGTGTAGAGGACCCAAGTCCCTTTTTGCCTGATTAAGATTTAATAAAATTTAAAGATTAGTAAAAGTCGAACAAATTCTTATGTACAATCAGGTATAAATTAAAGTACATCAAAGGGTATATTTTTACTTATCGCAATGATCCTTGCTTGTTCAACCATCAAATGAGCAAAAAAAGAAAAATACATTTGGACACACCTTGCACCTAGGTGTACATATATAGAATTTTAGAGAGCTGAACTTATAAAATTTCAACAATTTATTAATGGTTCTTCTTTTAAAGATAAATAATAGATAGATAAATCCATTAATATTTACGATATCAAGGTCCCATTAGTAAATCAATGTATCTTTAGCAACCCCTTTTTAATCTCATAATACTTTCATCACTTTGACTACATGTGCTTACTAATGGACCTTTGAAATCTTTAATCATTTTTTTTAAATCATACACCAAAAAAAAAAAAATTATTTAAAAGTGTTTAGTAAAGATTAATCAATCCAATATCTTTCAATACTAATTAACATTTGTATTCATATGTTGTAAATAGTACAAAACATCAAAATGAGTAAGAAAGTGAGAATAAATGGAGAGCTTACGCCTCCACTTCCTAGTTTTCTAAATGCCCTATTAATCACATACATTACTTTGACTAATGTTTGTATTTTGTACATAAGATTAAACATAGTCATGTACATATTTGTCAGAATCGATCCAATATGTAATTTCAAATTAACATTTTAAAATTTATAGGGGATAAATAAGATGTCATTGATTAAAGTTTTTCATTGATATATATATATATATATATATATATATATATATATATATATATATATATATATATATATATATATTTTGTTGGAAGTAGAGTACTTCCAATATATAAAGGAATTATAACTCTATAACTACATATTATATGGTACATAGGGAGTAACAAGTATTACATACAATATTGGAAGTAGAGTACTTCCAATATATAAAGGAATTATAACTCTATAACTACATATTATATGGTACATAGGGAGTAACAAGTATTACATACAATATTACATAAAAAAAAAAAAAAAAAAAAAAAAAAGTAAATTAGTACGTACCTGCCCACCATGGAGTAGACCCATCAAAGCCCACGCAGTTTGGACCAAGTTGGACTTTGGAAGTGGCACAAGTTCCTTTTGTTGTATCCATGAGAGCAATAATCACAATATCACAAGTATAAATAAATACTACTCGTATAGTATATATACTTCAACAACAATGCAAAATGCAAGGACTAAAATTTAGAAAAATACCGCATTTAGAGAAAAAGAAAGTTAGGATAAATAATTTCACTAAAACATGTAATGTTGTCTCTTGTGAATACTTCATGATAACTGATAAAGTTTTTGGCTCTCATAGTATACGAGTTTCTCATATTGAGTTGGATTTACATATAATAATTATTGATTTATTTTTTATTCACTTTTAATCGATAAAAATAAAAATCAAACTTTATTTTCTAAATAATTGTGCCCAATCTAAAAATAAACTTCATTTAGGGATGAAAAAAAATAAGTTAATTGAAATGTAGGGGTGTCAATTCGGTTTTTAAAAATTCTAGCGTAGTCGTCGACTACGGACGACTATGGACAACTACGGACGACTATAATAAGAGATTAAATCTGAATCGTTAGTATATTATTTATCTAATATGAGCCGCCCAATCCAACACCTATGATACAGAGTCATCAAAGGATTGTTTGGTTTGTATTTTTTTTTTGTTATGTTTTTCACGCATGATTTTTTTTCAATTTATAGAAAATTGATTTTTTAAAAAATTAAAATTAGAAGAAAAAAAAAATCAAATTTTAAACACTTCATCTTCATCCTTAATTATTTTAGGAAAATTTGCGAGGAAAGTCCTTTTAAGTGGTCGACCTTGTGAGAAAGACCATTTTATAAAAAAGGTGGCACAAAAGGTCCGTATATCATGTTTGGGTTGGGAGGAGGGTCCTTTGACCATTTTCCGGCGTTGTTTTTTTTTTTTTTTTTTTTTTCCGGCCAAAAAAAGCCACGTGTAAAGCACGTGACTTATTAAGTTCCCTTTTTTCCCTATTTTCTCTCATTGTGGGGAGGATTAGCCTTGAATTACTTTGAATAGCCTTCAATTTTAATTTACGGGATTACAATTGAAGTTTTGGTGTTAATTGTTTTCACAAATTAGGGTTTAATAGGGGAAAAAAGGGGAAAACGAGGGAAAAGAGGAGGGAGAAAAAAGAGAACTTAGATGTGACTTTTTTTGGCAGGAAAATAAAAAAGTCAACGCCGGAAAATGGTCAAATGACCCTCCTCACAACCCAAACATGATATAAGGAACTTTTGTGCCATCTTTTTTTTTATAAAAGGACCTTTCTCACAAGGTCGACCACTTAAAAGGACCTTCCTTGCAAATTTTCCATTATTTTAGAAAAATGTTTTTAGCATCTTCAACCTTCATCAATATTTTACCATCCTTCATTATCAACTCAATAATGTTCATCTTTAACCTTACCCTCAACATTTATATTTAATCCAAACTCATCAATAATTGCTAATGTATAACATCAAAATTAATAAAAATAACTTCTAATATTTAGTAACTTCTAATATTTGAGTTCTAAAGTAGTCAGATTCAATTAACGGCTTAGCTTTACTCTATAATCAATTTTAACATGTTGATATAACATACTTTTCAGTTTTCACGATCTCTAAGACACGATTTTTTTTTTAATCAAAACTTACACAAAGCCATGTTTTTCCCCACGAAGGAACATGTGTAGCACTGCCATGGTCAAGGATCCATTTGCGAGCTCTAGGGCACGCGTTGTGATCACCTTCATCAGGTCCTACACCAAGTATCCGCAGACATATGTAATTGAGCACGGTACAAAACATTGTGCTATGTCCTTCACAATGAAATCCCCAACCTCCATCTTCATTCTGCCATAACCACAACAATCAAAACTAGCTACTAAGCTATATATAATTATTATAATATGAGCACACATTTTTCTTTTCTCTACATTTTCGATATTCCATACTAATTCTAACTCTTTGACAAACATGAGCTTGAGAGTATATAGGTTTAATCATAAATTGATAGAGTATAAAACATATTTCTGGACCTCATCCATTAGCTTAAGTTTTTGGTTGAGTTGGTCTTTTAACATGGTAACGGAGCCAGCCTGACATAAAAGTCACGGATTCAAATCTCATTCACCCCTCCTTTCAAAGTAGAACATTAAGCGCAGGGTATGAGCAGAGCCCATGCTGCATCCACACTTCTAGGCCAACGGGCTCCTATGTGAGGGGACGTGATATCTATAACTATTAAAAGTGAGAAGTTTGCAAGTTGAAAACTCCTTAGTAATAGTGTGATGACAATTTTGCCCCTCAAAAAGTACAATTACGATTTTGCCCTTGTTTTGCTGCTGGTGATCTGTTGGCTCTCGTTCTTCTCTCAGCCAAAATGCTTAGGTGGTGTTTTGTTGGCTCTTGATTACTTTCTGCTTGCTGGTGATCACTTTATCCAGGGTTATTCAATCTTTGACCTAGGGTTATCATCTAAATTCGATCCCCAATTTCTCTCTCCTCAAGTCCTCAGTCTCTACCTTAGATTTCAATCTCTCTCCTCAGTCTTTACCTCAGATTTCTCTCCTCAAGGTGAGTTCTTTGATTTTCTCTTAATTAACGAATTGTATTTCTTGTAAAATTTTGATCTGTTTCAATAATTTTCGCTTTTGATTCTCTGCTCGATTTTGCTTTTGTTAAATTCGTTGTTTCTTCCAATTTGCATTGTCGATTTTCATGTTTGAATATTGATTTCCCTGAATTGTAGCTACGTGACTTTCTTATCTTTTTTCTCCATTGAAGCAGCTTTCGAGCCTTTTCCGTTCCTCCATTAAAGCGAATTCTGAGCTTTCCCCTTTACTGAAGCAGCTTACAACTAATGTGTTTTTCAATCATCAATTTTCCATTTTAAAATCGAATTTACTTTTTGTGAATTATTATCAGATTTTCTTCGATCTAATTTTGAGAAAAAAAAATGGAAACCAATTTTATTAATTTTTGTGGGTTGAATATTTTAGGGTTCAATCTGATCGAAAATTAATGTCGGGATCTCTTGATCGATTTGCTCGCTTGCATTCTGGGTATGTCAAATTCTGATGATTTAATTTCCAGCGTTCTTGGTCGAATTGTCGCTCATGGATTTCCAGGTTTTTGGGCCAACTCAACGATTCCAAGCCTGGGATGTACAGTCAAGCAATCTTTAAGGGAATTTGGAAGACAGGAAAAACCTCTTTTTCTACAATTGAAAGAGGTAAGTTTTCTTTTATTTTTGATTTCGCATTGTTAGTATTTTTAACTTTAAGTTTTCTCTACAATTCTTACAATTTGAGGTTTTCTGGTTTTTTATGCCGTTGAAATCTTTTTCAATTTTTTTTTTTTTTTATTAATTTTTGGTTTAGGTTTGATTCCTTCCACTGTGATCAGAGAGGGATTATCTTGAAATTTCTTCAGATTCTTACAATTTGAAGATTTTAAAGGTTATTTTCACCCTTTAATTGCTTTTGCATTTAAGTAAGGTTTTTGTTATATTGTTGGTAATTTTGCAGGTTTAGATTTTTTTTGGTGGTAGATCTATTGTTAGCGCCTATTGATCATTACTCAGCGGGTCATGCTAGCCCTTGAAAGTCGAGGTCAGAAATTTCTATTTTTATCGTATATTCTTATATGTTATTAAAATTAGTAATTGTGTGTTTATTACTTTTCAATTTCTTTGTAATTATATGATTTGAATTCTGGACTTTGTAATTCTAAAGGTTAAACTGGCAAATACTTGTTGGTTTGCTGTAAATGTATCATGTATGCTTTCAGGGCCTTTCGCCTTATGGCAGATGATACTAAGCTATGATTCTGGTGTCTGTGTAGGTGCATGCGGTGGGATTAAATCATGGGTAAGGGTAATACGAGGCTTTCATGTAGCAATGGGATGCGGCTCAGGGATATTGCTATAGCTAATTCAAAAGGTGAATGCTGATGCAAAGAATGGGTATGAGATAATTCTCCATGACTAGAAAATAAAGAGTGTGAATCATATCATACAAATACATACCCTATTTGCTTTACCAAATTATTTGCTAGGTTTAGCCACTGAATTTGATAGGTTTATAGCCGCTTATGACTCTTATGAGAATGATCATACACCTTAACTCTTTTTAACTACTCATATAACCTTCGGATGAAGAACAATAAAGAAAAAATTAAACGGTGTAAGAGCCACAATTGATGAAGATAATTGCCTTACACAATCAATACTTTATAAGCTATTAGATATTTATTGCTTGTTTTATTTATTGCTTATTTGTGGCATAGGCGATATTGTATGCATATTAGATAATCATCAATAATGCTATTTTGTTTTGTACTAATCAATGTTTATGCTGCTAATTCATATGTAAATTAGTTGCAATTTGAACCGTAATTGTGTCAGTATGATGTGTTGTATTGGCAAGTGGGTCACTAATTTCTGTCATCTCTAAACAACCCGGATTGAAATTGACATGTAAATTCAAGAGAATGATAGCTGTTATAATGTTAGAAGATAATTGCCTTACACAATCAAAACTTTATAAGCCATCACTTTTGATATTTCAAAACTAAATGCTTGATGAAGTTTTCATTTCAAATCAATCTAGATTCTTATTTTTGTTAGATTAAAATAGTTTTGATTGAGTGATTGCTCAGCGTATTGTGAATTAGTCTTTTAAACCTTTTTTTATGTAGGCATAGTGATCCTAAAAATGCAATGAAGCACGTTGGAAGTTTTTCAGCTGGTAGTGTTGATATGTTAGATGTCTATCCTTTACAACTCAGGCTCTCTGTTTTGCGAGAAGCAAACTTATTAGGTGTTAAAATTAGTAAAAAGGTGATTTCCATGAACTTTTTCTTTTTTATACTACCTCCGTTAATTATTATGTGCAACAAAGGAATATTTTATGCCTCACAAATAATACCCCTTTGTTGCACATAATAATTAACGGACGTAGTATTTTTTTTTTCTTTTCTTGATGTATATGGCAACTAAGTAATGATTAAGCTAGCTTGACATCTGTGTGTATCTAATTTTGATGCTTTATCGTTTTTATTAAAAAATTTTTGATTGGGATCGGGTTGTCCTTCAGTTTTCGGTGGGTCGCTAATTTGCAAGAGCCACATTTCTTGATGTTCCTACAACTGGTCTTCAGGTAGCCTTCCCTCATTTGTTTGATTTCAGATCAGAATAATTTATCAGGTAGCATTTAGATTGATATAATTTGATTTCTGTGGTGACTGATGGGAAAATAATTAATTCCCTGGTTGCACCTTACATTATATACATACATCAATTCGTGATGCTAGGTAGCTTGTAGTTGGAAAAAAAAAAAAACTAGGTGACAATCACGAAAACGTAAAGAGCTTGATAGAACTAGACATGATGGTAACAAAAATAAGATGTAACAGATTGAATAACAGGAAACAAGACTTTGTAAATTTATAATGAAAAGTAATGGTCATGAAGCCAAATTAGGTAGTTTATCATGATTGGTTTTTTGGTAGTTTTGACTCATTGATTGACTAACTATGGATAAGGAAACTACAAAATATTCTACACTTGCAATTCTTTGTGCACGATCTAATTGGACATGCTATCATCATTGTAAACCAAATTAGGTCATCATCCAACTTTTTCTTCCTTTTCTTTCAGTTCTCCATTGATAGATGATACTTTTTTTTTATGTTCCATGATTTGACGATTCTTGTCAATGATCTATATGCTTTATCATACTGTACTTGTTTGATACTTTTTGAGTTTAAGAAATTTAGCAGTAAGCACCATTAGAGAAGTTAACTAATGATTTTTTCGTTGTTGATTATATAGGCTTGATATTTGATAACAAACACAATATCGTAGATACTATATTATATTAAATTATGGCATTTACTGGAACTCATAACAAATGCAAGGCTTGTACTAAACTGAGTATTTTTGTGGATTTGTTATCAGCTGATGGGGAAACTTTTCATAAGTCTCGCATCGGATGCAACCACTGCAATATGATATGTCTCTTTATTGTCACATTATTGCTTTGTGTCTAAAAAGGTCTTAAACTCTTGTAGAAATTTCAAAGAAAGATACGTTCTTATGTCCCTTCTATTTGATATTTTGATCATTGGCCTCATGATTTCCTCTACTTCACCTTTTTCTCGTTTCTAGATTTTAAAATGTGATGTTCATATTAACTAATTTCATATCATAGATAACAGTAATATAAAATATAAGTGTATAAATAATTTAATTGCTGAATAACTTTGTTACATTGACAAATGAGCAGCTACTCTTCTATGGATGGGGTCCTCTAGCTTAACAATTACATTAACATTTGTAGCTTTACACAACATAGGAAGAAAGTGTTCTTAGCATAAGATTGCCGAGGTGTTTGCAAATGAGGCAAACGTCACCCCTTTGATGTGACGTCATATTTCTCCCTCTCTCCTCGTTCCAGCGGTTGCTGTGACATCACTCCATGTAGGTGATCTGTCCTTTCTTCTATGTACTTGATTTAGTTGTTTAGATCAGAATTTTTTTTAAAAAAATGTTTTTAAAATTATTATAGTTGATTTGTCTATTGTTTGATATATATATCTTTACTGCCCAATTTTTGCTAAAGTAAGTCATTTTTTTACTTGATTGTTTGATGAATCCATGTTTTTGTATGTTGGGTTTGATTTTATGTTAGTGGCGTTTAATGATTTGGCATTGTTTGGCTGTTTCAGTTGTTGATTTTCGAAGATTTTAGGGGATTAGGGTTTCTAGGTAGTGATTAATTATGGGTTAATTGGAGTAGATCGTTGGATTATGGTGAGATATGAGGGTATTTTGGGTTAATAGAAGATGGGTTGTGTTTTTGGGAAAGAGATAGCAGCACATGAGGGGAGGGATAAAGGTGGGAGGAGAGAGAGAGAGAGTTTAGGGGTTGAATCTGGTAGGAAGGTAGGTGTTGTGTCTGTTGCAGATGTTGTGTCTGGTTGGGATGCAGGGAAAGAAGGGGAAAATGGGGGTGTTGAGATGGTTGAGTTGAATGATGGTGGAAGGAAGGAGGAAGAGAAGAAGGGAAAGGTAGAAGTCAGAAGGCAAGAGGCGGCGATCGAAGCCGAATCCTAAGCTGAGTAAATCCTCCTAAGAATGTACATGATGAGCAGGTGGCAATTGTTTCTGCCTGATATTTAGCTGGCCAAATGGAAACAGGATTCTTTTGTTCAACACCATCCTCATTCTTCAATAATATTCAATAGCTAACTTAAAATTGTTGATGTGACAGCAATAAGGGTAGATAGGACTTAAGATGATTTGTATCTGACTTTGTTGGGATGAAGGGTTTGGAGGGGTAATTCTCAGTTGGATGGTGGGGGGGGGGGGGGGTCTCCTTTGTGTGAAGGATCAACACGTCTTTGATTTTCAAGAGATCTCGAGTCTTTAGTTTTTAAGAGATCTCAACCAAAAATGTTAACAAGTCTTAGATTCTGTGTTCATGGGTAATGTACTGGCTTGGTGCTTTGTATTTCTTCAAAATTGAAAGATTCCTTATTAAATGAAGTGTCTTTTAGTGCTGCAAAGGAATATGTATTAGAAAACTGTAGCTTCTGATTGTTTGATGGGATTAAGTAATGTTCTTGGCTTTGCTTAAGGTACATAATGGTGGGGGGTGTTTGGACAATTTTATATCACATTTGTTTTATTAGTTGTTTTTAGTTTTGATAAAGAGCTTATGGTCCTTAAACCATATCCGCTGCTTAACATTTTATTAAACTACTTTATCTTCATTTGAAAGAAAAGAATCTAATGCTTAGCATAACAAAGGAGGAGAAAAAATTGCTAGACTAATTGAATATGCATAATTTGTTGGGCAAATGTACTTTTTCATGAGGTATTCATCAATTGTGGCTCTTACACCGTTTAATTTTTCTTTATTGTTCTTCATCCGAAGGTTATATGGCTGAGGTTGTTGCTCCAGGAATGGGAGTACTTTTGGCTCGCCAACTTGGTTTCGAGAACATTGAACTAGAATGCGATGCGTTAGAGGTAGTAAAAGCCATATGCTCAAGACTGAAGTGGAGAGCTCTGTATGATCTGATTATTGAGGATATGTGTCTACTTGAGTCTTCTTTTACTTCTGTCATCATGCCAAAAGGTGTGGTAATGATGTTGCACACCTAGCTCTGCTAGAATGGTTCCTTTGGTGGGGTTAAGCAAATTTTTTATTCTAATTTCCCGCAAGGCATTTTGGCTCTTGCAAATCTGGTTGTAACTTAATATTTGTTTTAATATATTTACCCACCTCCTTCAAAAAAAAAAAGAAGTGATTCAAATTCGGGTTTTGCTTGAGAAGAGTGCTTGATATTCTTTTATTTTTTGGACGGGAATATGATGATATATTCTTATTGATGTACAAACTATACGAAAATTTTGGTACTCTTATAATAAGAGTGGGCTAGAAATTGGTTTATTATTGCACATGTATGTCTTTGGAGCCCAACGGTAGATTAATGGTTAAGGGGTGAATAAACTATTTAGGGGTGAACAATTTGTTTAGAGGCGAGGTAAAATATGATGTTTATGGGCCGGGTGAGCAAATTCTTTATGAGTGAGCAAACTATTTAATTAGGGTTGAATAATATTATATTTAGAATGAGGTTGTATAAATTTTTAGATAGAGGTAAACAAATTGTTCAGAGGTGAACAAACTATTTCTATTTGATACAATCCACAATAAAAGTTCAATTAATCGATATGCCCTAATATTATACCATCGCAACCTCTTTAAGGAGTAAGGTAATTATATACTTCGTATTGTTTTTGAGAGTGAACAAATTATGTAGGGGTGAGCAGACTATTCAATGGTTAACAATTTTTTGACGAGTTAGCAATTTATTTTACGGGTGAGAAAATTGTATACAATTTTTAGGGGTGAAAAAGTTATTTAAGGGTGAGCAAACTATTTACGAGTGAGGAAATTTGTATACAATTTTTAGGGGCGGACAAATTATTTAAGGATGAGCAAACTATTTAACCCGATGTGGTGTCAAAGAAGTTCAAGCGCAAGAATAGGTATATTATTTGAGCCATCTTAAGTAGGGTTGGTGTAGCTAGGACGCTCAAGACTAATATTTTTAGGTTTTAAGAGGTGAGCAAATTTCTAGGGTTGAGCAAACTTTTTTGGGGTTGTTATTTAGGGGTTAAGTAATTGAATATGTTATTTAGGGGTTGAGCAAACCCCTACATTCACATCGTCTTTTTTATCCGGCATTTGGCCTAATACCATAAACAATCAACAAGAATGCACTATAATTATAATACACATTATAAATTATTGCTACATAAACAACTACAACATTATTAATCTATATATAATCATAACATTATATTTGTGAATGTAACACACAATATGTCAATATACAACAAATTAATTACGCATTAACGTTAAGTGCCAAACTAAACTTTTCCGATTCACCATACGAAGCGCGCGCATCGCGCGCATGGAGCTCGAAAACTAGTAGTATAAAAATATTCCTGGACCCCAAGCATTAGCTTAATCTTTTGATTGAGTTGATCTTTCAACATAAATATAAGTCAAGAATAAGGATGAACCTGATGATTGTAAATGGTACGAAAAATTTCTGTTCGGTGTTGAGCTGAGATAATAGAATTTAAATGTCCTATAATGTATAAGCAAAATACCTGTACCAAAGTTAGATTTATTATAGAATTAACTAATGAAGGTTGATTATATACTTACGTACGTGTATGCAAGGTTTTTTTTTTTAAAATAAAATTCTTTAAACTTAATATGAACGAACATTATTAGAGTTTAACAAGAATGAAACTATTAGATGCTGCGAATTTTCAAAAATTATATCATGAAGAAAAACTGACCAAGGGAGGGATGTAAAATTGAGGAAAAGCAGTGTCAGCAGGCCAATGGCCATCCTCAGCTTGCAACGCTGTAAGGTAACGCGCAGCTCTCTTCACCGTCGTTGAGGCGGTTTCGTGTGTGATCTCCTCCCCATCATCCACCTTCACTTGAGGTATTGTTTGCTTGAAGTTTTTCTCACGTAGGAACTGTTAGTTCATACTACTTTAGACTTAAAAAAAAAATAAATCTAACGCTAGAATTTTTGCTATTTTGGGATATAGTTAGTGATAATCAAACCTGATTACGCCAAATGAGATCACCACAAGCCTTAACTTGAAAATGTTTTCGACCAGTGGCGGATTCAGGATTCCAAAGTAGGGGTAGCACTAAATAATAGCGAAAAATAATATACAGCTACTAGCTACTAACTTGAGACTAAAAAAAAAGAGCTAAATTTAAGCTGGCAATAACACGCCAAGTTTTTTGCTTAATGTAATGGGATTTTGTAGAAAAAGTTACCATCAATTTTTCAAATAACTATAGATTTTGCACCAAGTTATTATTACGGATAAAATTATGTACAATATATATCAAAATATTTGGTATTACAATCAAATAAAATTAGTCAAATTAATAAGAAATAACTAATTTTCTTCACGAACAAATTTTATTCCATAAAAAAAAACATTGTGGGCTAGGGGGAGGAGATTCAAACCTAAGACTCCAAGGATACTAGAAAGTTTAAACTTCCTGCATAGCAACCACTGAAGCACCTTCAATAATGTTGTCAAGTTAGCATTTTTAATCTTTATAACCTATTTTACAGAAGGCCTTTTTGTAAACAATTTTTTTTTTTTTCCCGGGGTAGCACGTGCCCCCCCGGGTCACTACGTGGATCCGCCAATGTTTTCAACGAATATCTGTTGGATTTAAAGTAGAAAAGCAAAGACTAATATTAAAGTAATGGGAAAGTGATTACATTAAATTGCATCAGAAAAGAGTACATGAAAGGCCTTTAGATAGGCTTAATGAAGAACTAACTAAACATAAAAATAGGAGTATTAAAAGGAAGTGGGATACACCATGACTTCTTAACAAATGCACCTAGACAAAATATACTAATTTATTCATAAGACTAAGTAAACCACTTAGTTACTGCATCTAAGAAATAGGAATAAAAACATACTACTTTGACTTAGTACTAGCTACTTTGGAGGACTGATTTCAACACTCTCCCTTCCTTCAAAGTTTGTCACTCCCATTTGCAACCTGAAATAATCATGCTTAGCTTGCGGAAGCGGTTTTGTAAAGACATCGGCAACCTGCTTGTTTGTCCCACAATGCTTCAAGACAATAGTATTCGCAGCAACCAAGTCTCGAATGAAATGATAACAAATATCGATATGCTTTGTCCTGCTGTGAAAAGCTGGATTTTTTGTCATGGCGATTGTTGCCTTGTTATCACAAAAAATTTCAGTTGCACCTTCTTGAACGTGGAGGAAATATGCTAATAATTTCCGTAACCAAACACACTGACAAGCTGTTGCAGTTACAGCCACATATTCAGCTTCTGATGATGACAAGGCTACCACATCTTGCTTCTTTGAACTCCATGACACGGGACCAGAACCAAGGGAAAAGATATAACCTGATGTGCTTTTTCTATCTTCTGAACAGCCTGCCCAATCGCTATCTGAATAGCCAAACAATCTGAAACTTGCTACTTTTTCATACCATATGCCAAAATTCACAGTTCCGGCCACATATCGTAGAACACGCTTTGCTGCCCCTAAATGTTGTTGTGTGGGGCTGTGCATAAACCTTGAAATTACACTTACAGAATGTGTAATGGCAGGTCTAGTATGAGATAGGTAGTTTAAACCACCTACAATACTCCTGAAAAAACTTGCATTTGCCATACCCGTACCATCATGTACCACAAGCTTTTCATTGACATTCATAGGTGTAGCCACAGATTTACAATTCAGCATAGTAAAACGTTTAAGCAAATCAGTAGCGTACTTTCTTTGTGAAATAAAGATCCCATCAGGACCTTGTTTCACTTCAAGACCAAAAAAGTAATGTAACAATCCCAAATCTGACATTTCAAATGTTTTCATCATGCATGACTTAAACTCTTCAACTAATGACTCACAAGACCCCATATAAATCATGTCATCAACATAAAGACAGACAACAAGAAAGTCAGTACCTTGCTTCTTCACATACAAGGAAGGCTCATTTTGACTTCTTTCAAATCCATTCTTTCGAAAATAGGAGTCAATTTTGCTGTACCAAGCCCTTGGTGCTTGCTTCAGGCCGTATAAAGCCTTTTTTAACTTGTAGACTTTCCCTTCTTCATCTTTAACAAACCCTTGAGGTTGAGCAACATAGACTTCCTCCTGTAACTGACAGGGTAAAGTCGTATCCCCTAATCAAAAATAAATACCTAAATCCTCTAACTAAAGTAGATAGAGAAGTAGGGTCGATCTCCACAGGGAAACAAGTCTTTTTAGTTCTAATTAATTATTATATTCTAAATTATCCAAGTAACCGATGTTTTTAGTGTGAGTTCTATACTACGAAGAATGAGTTTGAGGAGAAAAGAAACAATAATAAGAAGGCCTAGGGTCACAGGTTCACCAATAATTAATATTCCGGGATAGAATGAAGTAATTAATAATTAACGATGCATAGATAATATGATTAACAGGCTCTCGCAATTTATTAACCAACCTACAGGCTCTCGCAATTTATTAGACCTAAGTTCCTATTAAAAATAGCCTTTAATATTAAATCAACATCTGCTCGATTCATCAATTCAATATCGCTAAACATTCACAATCAAATTACATCTGCTCGATTCATAATCTAATTGCAAAGAATTAGAACAATTCAATAGGAAATTATCATGCAATATCAACAATCAATAATAACAAACTATCCCTTCATATTAATTATGGATCCCCATAAACCCTAGAATTAAACTACTCACTAATCATCATAATTAAACCAATCAAATAAATAAATAAGAACATGATCAAGAAAACAATTAAAATAGCTGAAAT